CACGCAGCCTGCTTGTTCAGTCATTTGGTCGTCCCTCACTAACTCCCCTGCCGACCTGGTTGTAGGCAGCCATCTTGTAAGGGTGTGAGGGTTAATTTGCATATTACCTCTTTATTATATAGGATGAATTTGTTTAAGCATTTATTTCTGTCTTCACTACTAGACTGTAAGTTTCCTAGGAGCTAGACATTTTCTGTCTTATTCATTGTTGCATTTTCTAGTGCCTGAATGGTGCTTGCTTGGCACATGATAGATGCTCTATCAAAGCTTCTTCAATGAATGAATGAATGCATTGATGATAGGTAAAAACTTAGATGACTTCAAAAAGTACCTTTTGGTCCCTGGCCAGATGGCTTGGTTGGTTGGAGCGTTGTCCCATATGCCAAAACATTGCAGGTTTGATTCCTGGTCAGGGCACATACCTAGGTTGTGGGTTCTATCCCCAGTCGGGGAACATACAGGAGGCAGCTAGTCAATGTTTCTCTCTCACATTGATGCATCTCTTTTTCTCTCTCTTCCTCTCTCTCTCAAGTCAATTAAAAAAATAAAAATGTGGCTCTGAGTAAATATAACACAGCAAAAGAAACTATCAACAAAATGAAAAGAGAGCCCGCTGTATGGGAGAACATATTTGGCAATGATACATCTAATAAAGGATTAATATCCAAAATATATAAGGAACTCATACAACTTAACAAAATGAAGACAAACAATCCAACTAAAAAATGGGCAAAGGACCTAAACAGATACTTCTCCAAAAAGGACATACAGATGGCCAAGAGACATATGAAAAAATGCTCAAAGTCCCTAATCATCCAAGAGATGCAAATCAAAACGACAATGAGGTACCATCTCAACACCTGTTAGAATGGCTACCATTAACAAACTAACAAATGACAAGTGCTGGTGAGGATGTGGAGAAAAGGAAACCCTAGTACACTGCTGGTGGTGGGAATGCAGACTGGTGCAGCCATTATGGAAAATAGTATGGAATTTCCTTAAAAAATTAAATGTGGATCTGCCATTTGACCCAGTGATCCCTCTTCTAGGAATATATCCTAAGAAACCCGAAGTACCAATCAGAAAGAATGTATGCATCCCTATGTTCATAGCAGTACATTTTACAATAGCTAAGATCTGGAAACAGCCCTAGTGCCTATCAGTAGATAAGTGGATAGAAAAGCTGTGGTACATTTATACCATGGAATACTATGCAGCAGTAAAAAAGAAGAATCTCTTAGCCTTTGAGACAGCATGGAGGGACCTGGAGAGTATCATGCTAAGTGAAATAAGTCAATCAGAGAAAGATAAGTATCACATGATCGCACTCATATGTGGAATCTAAGTAACAAAATAAACTGATGAACAGAGTGGATCCAGAGACTCAAAGCATGGAACAGAGTGTGGAATCTTAAAGGTAATTCGGGGGAGGGTGGGAGGTAATCAACCAAAAACCTTGTATGCATATATGTATAACCCATGGACACAGATAATAGGGTGCTGAAGGCCAGGGTAGAGGGGAGGGGGCGGGGGCAGGCTGAAGGAGGTTAATGGGGGGAAAAGGGGGGACATATGTAATAGTTTTAACAATAAAGAATTATTTTAAAAAAATAAAAAATAAAAGTTGAGATACGCAAAAGATAGAAAGAAAGAAAGAAAGAAAAGAAAGAAAGAAAGAAAGAGAAAGAAAGAAAGAAAGAAAGAAAGAAAGAAAGAAAGAAAGAAAGAAAGGAAGGAAGGAAGAAAAAGAAAGAAAGAAAGTAAGAAAGATGTGCCTTTTAGTAAATATAAAGCCACTGGAATTGTAGATGCATAAGAACTTGAATAAGATTATTTCATAAAGTATAAACATGGAAAGAAGGCAGAATATTCTTTAGAAACATTAGTTAACTGGTGTGTAAGTATGTGATTAAGTGGAATAAATATGAGTAGATGTGCCTTTCACCTATATACGGAAGTTTGGATATTCAGATTGGCCAGAAGACTCTTGAGACCTTTTTGTTGGGAAACCTTGCATTCAGGTGCTTACCATGTTGTGTTTCCTCATCCTGGGGCCTATCCAGTCATTCAGCCTGTCGGTCAGTCAGTCCTTCCCAAGTATCCTGGGTCAAACCTAGCACCAGGCTTCAGACTGGGGGCGGGGGGCGGGGAGGGCAGGGAAGACACAGAAGGAGAAGGGAATCAGGCACATTGTGTGTGTACTGTGTGTCGGGGACTCTGCCTGGATCAATCTCTCTCAAGTGGGTGACCTAAGAGCCCCTACCCCCAGCCGGCACACACCTGGTTGGGTGGTCCAAGCAAGGAGAGGGCCAGACTATAGGTCTGATCCCCCAAACCTTGCCGCCTCTGCAGGTCTCAGAGATCTTATTTGTGGCCATGTACAGCGCCGAGTTCTACATGAATCTCTACGCGGACCCCATTGGCATCTGGAAGGACGGCTACAAGCTGCTAGACTTGATGATGATCATCGTCATCTCATTCCCCTACGCTCTCCTCAAGATCAAGGGCAAGCACTACCCTCACCACAAGATCGCTAATGGCATGCAGTCTCTGCGCATCCTCAAGCTCATCACCTATAGCCGGGGCATCCGGGTGAGTAACCCAGGAGTGTGTGCTTCCGGGAGGGCAGGTGACAGGGTCTGTCTGCCCACCAGCCCCTGGTGAAATAATAATTGTGCTCCTAGCATCCAGTCATTGAGTCCTACTATATAGCAGGTTGATCATTGCTGAGATGATCTCAGTTCATCTTAAAACAATTGTAGGAAAGGTTATTATTAGCCCCATTTTATCGATAAAGAAATTGAGGCCCCAGGTCGCTCAGCAGGTGATGCCAGAGACTGGAAAGGTGTGTCTGGTTCCAGAGGTCACCTGGACTCGCCCTCTCTCCCGTGCTGCAAGGTGGACCCTCTTCTCACGGCACAGACTCTTCAAACTACATGCTCAGGGGCTCCAGCTTTCCGGGAGCCTGCTTTCCCCAAACAGCTACAAATCTGCTGCTTCTGTTGATGGGAACAGTCTCATTACTTGGTTCAGGCGGCTCTGGCAGTGCTGCTCCTGCGGAGAAGGGGTGACCAGCCTTTCCTTGGTTCAGAAGGTTTCAGAACAAACCTCAGAGCTGACCCAAGCATTCCCGTAGCATTCCACCTGTGCAGGATGTTTGCCCTGGCTCGGCACCCAGTGTCCACGCTTCTCCAGGAAGGGGCCGGTTTGGACCAACTTGACCAGTTAGGGTGTGTTAGCCTGTTTGGTTGAGAAATCGCTTCCAGCCTAGCCTGTGTGTCTGTCCAGGGCCTAGGCCTGCCACTCAGGGACCCCAGTCCTAGGTGGAGAAGAGGAGAATGTTAAAGGGCTCCCCCTGCCACAGGGCCCCAGTCATTCATTCCCTGCCCTCACATAGTCACACACGTGTATGTGTTCCCTCCCAAACAATGTAGTCCAGCCCTCCTCCTCGTGGTGAAGCTTTTGGGAAGAGGTGTCTATACACCCAGACCCCGCTTCCTTATCTGGCATAAATGCCCTGGCTTCTTCCCTCTACCTGAAGTAACTAGTCTCTCCGAGGTTATCAACAACCTCCTTGTTGCCAAGTCCACTGGCCATTTCCCTTGGCATCCTTGTCCCTTGCCTTCTCTTGGTTTTCCTCCTGCCGCTTGGGTATGACTTTTCGGGTACATATTTTCTTCGCTTGGCTCCTAAGTGTTGTTTTCTAAGGACTATGTCCTGAGTTCTCCTCTTTGTATATTCTTTTTGGGTGATCTTTTCCACTTTTCAGGAGTCTTTACCTGCCCACATCTCTCTCTTTGACCTTCAGACCCAACTGCCTCCTGAGCATCTTACAGGCTCCTCAAACTCAATGTGTCTAAAGTAGAAGTCATCACTCTTCCCCATCCCCACTCTCAGATCACAAACCTTAGCGCCTCCTCCTCTACTTTATCTTCTGCTGAAAGGCACCCCTTCAACCCTATTCAACTTCCAAGTAATAAATTTGAATGTTAGCTTTGTTTCCTCTCACTCAAAGTCCTGTTGTATGGCCTCCTAAATAGTTATTGACTGTTTCCATCCCCATAGTCATCATTTTTTCTCCATCACCATCCATCCACCTTTACCTGGATTCCTGCAATGACTTCCCACACTACTGAGTGTTTTGGAACAGAAATGTTCCAGCAGCTGGGGGAATCTCTAAAGTGCACATCATGTCAGGACGCCCTTCCTTTGGAAACCTGAGCCTGGCTCCCCTGGCTTGTAGGCTAGAGACAGACCCAGTAATGTGACCTAGAAGTGGGGATGGGAGTATCGAAGGTGCTGGGCATTGGAGTCGAAGTGTAGGTTCAAGAGTAAGGTGGGTGGTCAGGAGAGAAAACTGGGAGCTAAGTGCCAGGTCAGGGGCACCAAGGGAGGAAGGTCTAAAGTGGTGCAAGGGTCGCTGGAGATGAGGAAGTCAAGCGACGAGGAGACCTGGCGGATGGTGGGTATCCACAGAGATTCTGAAGGCCCCCAGGATGGCAGCAGGATGGGGTGGAGCCTGGGGGAGAGATTTTGAGACACGAGGTGGAGAGGGAAGCTGGAAGGTTTGCCCTGCTCAGAAGCAGGGGCTTTGTCCACGGAGGCGGAGGCTCCGAGGATAGGGCAGAGGGTGGCCTCCTGCATCAGGTCATGGGGGATAGGCAGACTCCTTCGAGAGGGCCACTGAGGAGTGATGTCCTCAGGCAAGAGAGGGTCCTCTGGGGAGGCCTTGGAGTGAAGGTGGTGGCATAAGGCAAAGGTCTTAAGAGTTGGGCCCATGTTCTGCCACTTTATTGGAGTGTGACCCTGGCCAAGCCCTTTTCTTCTCTGAGCCTCTGACCCCTCATCTTGGCGTGGGAAGAATGATAACACCTACCTATCTTGAAATGACATCTGTGACAGCATCTATGTAGGTGAACATGTATTGAGCACCTACTACATGCAAGACCCTGGGTCATCACTCAAGAATGATTGATGAGGAGCTATGCACGGTGCTTCCCAGCAGGGGACAATGTAGTGGGAGGTGAGACCAAGTTCACAAGACAGGGACTTGCCTGGGAAATGGGGCCCAGAAAGGATGGGAAGCCACCTTCCTCTCAGCCCTCTTTATTCCCACTACCCGAGTGGCTCCCTCTTCTTCCTGGGCCTGAGAGAACATTCAGGGCTGGCCTCAGGGAGAAGCAGGACACCTTGGGATGACCATGAAACCAGGCAGGGGTTCAAGTGGCTGATGGGGAGACTACCCAGACCTGAGACAGCACACGATCTGCCCATAGATGACAGAGAGTGGAGGCCAGGCATTGGTTCAGCCCTCAATCTTGGCAGAGCTCCTCTCCCTCCTCCACTCCTATCCCCTCCCTCCCTCCCTTTACCCCTCCATCTCTCCATCCAACCATTGGTGGAGTATCTACCACATGCAGACAGGGCACTGGATGCTGGGCACAGCTGTGGTCTGGGCAGACTGGACCTCTGCCCCTGAGCCCCACCCCCGCCGGCAGCCTTGCCTAGTCCTGTGCCTCTCTGCCTTGCAGACGCTCATCACCGCCATTGGGCAGACATTCTACACTGTGGCCTCCGTGCTCATCCTGTTCTTCATCCTGATGTACATCTTCGCTATCCTGGGCTTCTGCCTGTTTGGAGCTCCAGATAAGGGTGACCAGGAAAACTGGGGGAACCTGGCTGTGGCCTTCTTTACCCTCTTCAGCTTGGCGACGGTACTGTGTTTGGGAACAGTGGTGGGGGAAGGGGCCTTGAGAAGAGACTGTCAGCTGGTGTGAGTGTGTGGACATTCTGGGCTTCCCGTGGGGCCTTCCCCATGTTTGGACACTTTTCTGGGCTGGGGAAGCTGAGGCAGAAGCTAGTGCCCTGACCAGGGGTCCCTCTCTGTCTCTAATCTTGTGACTCCCTAGAGCATTCCCATTTGTCTCACAGGGTTGTAAAAATTTCAGAGTTCTCAAAAGATGATTCATTTGGATTAAGTTTAATTTAGAAGTGAAACCCATGTCACATAGCCTTTTTGGAACAGACTGTCACAAATCCACCCAAGTCTAGAAGTCTGGACTCTGTTGAGCTCTGGAAAGACTGGAGTCTATCCGAAGAAGGCCTTGGCAGAGAGACCATGTCTTTTGGGAAGGATGGGAAGCTTTTTGGAGCAGACCCCCAGGGCACCTTGGCCAGAAGTGCCCCCACCCAGTGGTGCCCTGTACCACTAGGCCACCTGTTTGCACTGGACTCAGTGGATTGGGGGTGTGTGCTAAGGGCTGATATGCAAGAAGTGACAACCTCCATCTAGTGGGGTGAGGGCTCCCCTAAGGTAGGTTAGCAGGAGGCTTACACCACTGGGCCTTGATACTTGTCATGCCTTCCCCTGCCCGAGCAGGTTGATGGCTGGACAGACCTGCAGCAGCAGCTGGACAGCAGGGATTTTTTTCTGAGCCGAGCATTCACCATCATCTTCATCTTGCTTGGCTCCTTCGTCTTCCTCAGCATGTTCGTGGGTGTGATGATCATCCACACTGAGGTGAGGCTGCATGCATAGGATTGGGGGTCGGCTTTGGGGTGACGGGCGGGGCTGTGGGCCAAGTCTCCAGGGAGGACCTGAACTCTCTCTCTCCTAAAGTGGAGGGGAGGTGGCCAGGTGGGCAGGAGAGTGGGAAGTCACTGCAGCTGCATTGGCAGCTTGAGTTGGGGGCTGGCCCGGTATGGAGGGTTCCTCCTGCTAAGGGGTCTGAGCAGCAGTGCAAGGCTAGGGAAGAAGAAAAACGGGGGCGGGGGTTGGTGGTGGTATGCCGTGGGAGCCCTCACTTTCTCTCGTCACCCCACTCTCCAGAACTCCATCAAAAAGTTTGAGCGGGAGCTGATGCTGGAGAGACACATGACGCTCATGAAAGAGAAGCAGGTGATCCTGAAGCGGCAGCAGGAGGAAGTCAGCAGGCTGATGCAGGCACAGGTAGGTAATCTCCACAGGCAGGTGGACAACACGTGCATGGACAGTCAGGGCTGAAGCAATGGCCAAAAAATAGGAGTGGAAGGTGGCCTCAGGCATCTGCGGCCTTAGGTGAGGCAGGTGATACCTCCTGTATTTTCCAGAATCAAGCTTTATTTCCTGTACGTTAGTATTTCTCTGGACCTGTGAATGTGGAGTGCTGTGGTTACAATAGTCTCCCCCTCCTTCCCCGGCAGAGCTGCTCTGCTGGGCCTTGGCCTGGAGTGCTCTTGTTACCGAGGCCTCATTGGGCGCCAGGCAGGCACAGCCTCGTCCTTTGCATGGGCGAGGCCATGGAGGCCCTGACAGGTGTTACTAACCTGGTTTTCTAAACTGAACAAGAATGAGCACAACAGGCTGGAGATTTTGTCAGGCATGATACAGCTGTAAAGGGCTGGGCGTCTTCTCTTTTCAGCCCAAGTGCTCTGAGCTCCCTACATGGAGCCCTGGTGCTCTGCCAGGTCCTGAGCCGGACTCTGCCCCTCTCTCCCCACGTGGTCAGCACCTCCCTCCTCAGCCTCTGCTCTGAGGCAGAGACATCTGCCTTTCTTGACTGTGTTGAAGGTTAGTTCAGGGCAGGTGAGGCTATGCTGAACCCCACTCAGGCTCTCTCACTGGTCCCTTTCTGTGTCCCCTGTTCTCAGTGATGGTAGCTCAGGAGGCTCCCTCGGTCAGGGAGTCCAAGTTCAGACAGGGCCAGGGTCAGCCCTCCGCCTGGGCCCCTTGTGGAGGGTCCCCAGGTTTCTGTACATCTTGAGAGTCACCTCCTCCTTGTCATTGATCTCTCTATGCCTCCCTCTCTAGTCAAATGACTACAAAAGTTTTGGTGAGCTGATGGAGGACTTCAAGCACACCCTGGAGCACACTGAGCCCATGGTCTTGGATGATTTTGGCACTAGCCTGCCCTTCATCGACATCTATTTGTCCACTCTGGACAACCAGGACACTACGATTTACAAGTCAGTCCCAGCACCACTGACCTAGCCCTAGGGTGCCAGGACTTTCCTGGTCTCACTTCCTTGAGGGCAGGGCCATGCCAGGTGCCCTGGGAAAGCAAGGGGGCAATGGCTGGGCGGAGCCAGGCCCTTCGTGGGGTACAACGTTCCATGTATGCACAGGGGCTGGGCTGAGGTGTGGATAGGCCCCTGGCTGGGGGACTCTGCCCCCTGCCCCTCCCCAGCCTGCCCTGGCCTGCATTTAAATGCTGGCTCCTTGGACTCTCCAGGCCCTTCCTCACTAACCCTTTCTCAGGGGCAGAGGAAAGAGCTGAGGTTCCTGGCCTGGTTCTGCTAGGGCCTTCCTCTGTGACTCTGGGCAAGTCTCTGCCCCTTTCCCACCTGCCTCATGAGGGGCTGCTGGGCCAATTCTATGGAAATGAGAGCTTGGCCTGGCCCAGCACTGTGCTCCGTGCAAGTTAGCTGGGGTTTTACTGGCCATTACTGCCAGGAAGGGGAACTGGGCATGGGCATTAAGGAGCCACCTTGGGCTCTTGAACAAGGAGGGACAGGATTAGCATGGCTTCTTGACAGACATCTCTTGGAGGGCTTTGTGGACAGGAGGAACTAGAAGGAGGGCATCAGGGAACATCCACCTTGGCCCAGAGTGGACCAGGCAGGGTCTGGTCTTCTCTACAGTCACCACACAGAGCCCAGGAGTTTGTTGTCCCCAACCTGACTCATGCAGTGAAATAACTCCATCCAGGCCACAGGTGGAATGGCAGACCTGGGTTCCGGTCCCTGACTGGGCTCTAAAGTCCTTGCTCTTTCCCGGCCCCATACCTGCTAGGGGTGGTGAGTGCCAGGTGCAGGCGTGCGATGGGGGAGCCCGGTGGCATAGAGCCCGCCCCTGAGCTCAGGCCCTCTCCTGCCCCCTTGCAGGCTCCAAGAGCTGTACTACGAGATTGTGCACGTGCTGAACCTGATGCTTGATGACTTGCCCCAGAAGAAGCAGTTCCACTCCTCAGCAAAGGTTGACAAGAAGTAGTGTGACTGGGCACCCGGCGCTGAGGGCCTCCCAGGCTGTGGCAGCCCCCATTAAACACAGGCTTTCTGAACCCGCCTCTTCACGGTTGCTGTGATCATGGCGTTTCCCCACCTTTGGGGGTTGGGTCTGGACAGGTGCCCATGAAGCCTGATCCTCTGACACCATCTACCTCATGACACAGCCAGGCCTCTGGAGTGGGAGAAGGAGGCTCAAGACTCATCCTGGCCAGTGGCCACTTCCAGGGCCACACTGGGTCTCTTTTCCTTGACCCTAGCAGCAAGCCCCCACTGTGTTTCTGGGAAAGCCCCCTGAGGAGTCCAGGCCTAGCAGCCCCGAGTGCCTGGCCCCTTTGAGCTGATGTGGCCTCTTCCCTCGGAACCTCTCTGGGCTCACCTACGGGCCGTCCCCACACCTGGCAGAGCTGCAGCTCTCTGTGGGCCCATTGCTCTGGGGACCCCTCTTTGGAGTCGTCTCTGCTTTCTCCTAGGCTTGCAGTGGTCGTGCACCAGGCATGCAGCTGTGACTGGCAGGACTCTGTTGTGCGGCCATGGAGCTCAGGGTGGGCGGGTCTGGCTGGCCAGCAACAGGCACTTTGGGCTGCTTCCCCTCTTATGGTTGGTTAGGACCCCCCACGGAAAAGGTGCAATTTTTTGCAACATTCCTAGCCACATGACTGCCAGAGCTGCCCAGGGCCTGATACCAACTGCTCTGGTTATGATGGAGCCATCCGAAGGCCCAGGTAGGGCAGGGTGGCTGGTACCCCCTGTTCCCAAATGGGCCAGGCCAGAGGTCTGGCTGTTTCCCTCTGCTCCACTGCTGGGGAGTATTCTTGAGGCCTGTCACCTTGGCAGTGACATCTCAGACAGAGGGAGGGGCGGGTTCTGGGTCGACCTGGTGGGGGAGACCAGCACCCATAGTTGAGTGCAGAAAGATCCCAGACCCACACTGGGGAGTCAGGTCAGCAGAAAACACATCAGGTAGAGTTGAGAGTGACTGGACAAAAGGGTCCCATGGGCTCTAGGCCAGGTGACAGCACCCCTGAGGCCACATGACAAGGGCAGGTGGAAACCTATATTCATGGTTTCATTTATACATTGACTGCTTACTGAGCTGGGTTGGGTACTGGGGGTTCTGTAAAGAGGAGCCCACAATCTAGTCCTGGTCCCCTGGTGCCTACGGTTGTGTAGGGGAGACAGAAGTCCAGTCAGACTGGAAGAAAGTTTCCCTGAGGAAGTAACAACATTTGTTTGCAGAGAGCACGCATCTTCTAAGAGACTCAAGTCATTTCCATTTGCAAATGTTCATACTCTCAGGACCAAATTGAGAATTGTGTGAACAATGCCAAGGATAGCTCTGGCGAGTGCAGCCTGTGGCCATGCTCTGGGGAGCCCTCTGGGGCAGGGATTGTGCTGCTCCCTGGGGTGGAGAGAACTTTGTGCCAATGCCTGGGGAGGTGGGCCTGAAGTTAGCAGGGTGTCTGTGCCCTAGGAGGGCAGGGAGAAGCCAGGGCCTATGCGTTCAATGCCTGACCAGGAGGGCCGGTGGCTTCTAGGGGTGCTCTGGTGGGTGGGCACAGGGCAGGCGGGCCTTAGGCAATGGCTCCTTTTAGGGGGAAGGAGGGAAAGCAGACATTGCCAAGTGCTCACACTGGCTGTGCCAACCTCGTTCAGGGGGATATGAAAACACATCCACCTGCTCTCACTGGGCCCCCTGGCCAACGCCCCAGGCATCTTGAAACTTCCTTCAGGGAGGCAAGTTAGAAAGCACCGAGGTTTTGGAGTCAGGAGACCTGGATTCCTTCATCTGGTGACCTTAGGCAATATGTCTGGCCTTTGGAAACCTCAGCTGTTTCTTCTGAGAAATGGGCTGATACACTGACCAGGTATAAGGATCAAATAAAAAAAGACGTAGTCAACTTATGGTTTGTGCTTTCTGGCTGTCACCTCTGCCTCTGCTTAGTGGCCAGATGCAGAGTGGGCTATGCCAGTCAGGGGCTGAGTCGCGGTAGCAAGAGAGTAAGAAGTAAGAGCAGGGAGCAGCGGTCAGGCACCTGCGGAGGGTGGGGGTGACTGGGTCCCCAGATGGAGCTGGTGCAGAATGGGCACACGCAAGGCGGGCCTGGCGGGAAGGTCTGGGTCCCAGGCCCAGCAGGGAAGTCATGAGCATGGGCCACTGGGCTGTGGCGAGCTGCTTTTAAGGGCAAAGGCAGAAGGCTGTCACAGAGCAGAGAACTGTGAGCGGTGACATGCGGAGGGCTGGCCCAACACTGCTGGCAGGGCCGGCCGACGGATATTTGGCGCAGAGTCCCAAAGCAGCATTTCTGTTTGGCTCTATTTGCCTGTAGAGCAAACACTGGCAGATTGGAATTCCCACTTGGGCTCTCACCAACGCAAACAGGCTTGGCCCAGGCTCTCAGTTGATTTGCTCGGGGCAGAGTGGCTCTGCTTGTCCAGGCCTGGTGGTGGGAAGCAGGACCCTCCTCCCCACCCCCGGCCCCGGGGTCCCACAGAGCTGTCCCCACATGGTCCGCTCATCTCCGTCCTGCCAGCCTGGTGGTTTGGGGGCTGCAGTGGGTTGCAGGGGGGACCTGGGCCTGAGTCTTCTGGTCACACCCAGGCCCTCCCCCAGTGAGAAGGATCTGGAGGTGTTTGGAAAGTCACCAGATTTTTAAAAAAATTGCTGTTGATTCCACCAGCAGGAAGCAGGGCCTGTGTTACGGAGACCCAGGCAGTGTCTGAGAATATGCTCTCCTGTGTATTCCAGCAGCCCCTCGAAGTCCAATCCTGCGATGCTAGGAACTGTACCCCTCTGTGTTCTTCAGGTGTGGGTGAGACAGGACCCCTCCTAAAACACACTGCCCTTCACCGGGCCAGGCTTTGCGCTCAGGGTATCCCCACCTGGTTTGGTGTCTGTCCCGAGCCCCCAATTGCCTGGGCCTGCTCCATCGTCCCACAGGCTCAAGAAAGCAAGAGTTCCCTACGGGGCTCCTCAGAAAGGAGAGGTGATGGTTGCTGATTCCAGTCGCAGGGGTGGGGACCGGGGAGAAGGAGCGAGATGTGACAGAGGTTCAGTAACACACGAGTGCCCCCTCTTCCCACACTCTCCACCAGGTCGGCCACAGGCCTCGCCTTCCCAGGTTCTAGTTTCATTGTGCTTTCCGCTTGGTGTGATGCAGCCCCTGGCGAACGGGAGAGCTAGGACCGCAGAGCTGGAGGGAAGGCAGCTCCTGGTTCTCCTCCTCGGTGGAGAGTGAGAGAAATGGGAGAAACAGAGAAATCTACCGGATACCAGCAAGGCTGGATGGACCTATGCAGTGAGGAGCTGGGGCCAGGGGGGAAAAGCAGTAGGGTGTGTGCGTGCGTGCGTGCATGCGTGTGGTGGGTGGTGGGTGGAAGCCATTCCAGGCAGAAGGAACCTCAGGCACACGGGAAAGAGGGGAAAGGAGTGCTGGGAAGTTGGTATGGCTGCAGCCTGCAGTGTGGGGTGGGGCGGGGAACTGGGGACAGAGATTGGAGCCAGATCCTGCGGACCTTGAGTGCTCAGCTTGGCAGTTGGAAGCAGGGCAGCAATCTGGCAGACTGGATTCCCGCTGCCTCTGAGAGTGGCTTTATCCCCTCACCTGGCATTTAAGGCTCCCCTAATTTGCCTTCTTCCTCTCCCTATGCCTCCCAGGGCCCCCCTTTGCCTGGCTCAGTCTCCCCTCCCCTCTGGCACACCCATTCTAATCCTATCTTTCAACACCCTGCCCCAGGCCCCCTCTAATAGGAAGCCTTCCCAGATTGCTCCAGTTAGCCTTGATTTCTCCTTTCCCATTCTCACCCTTGACTTCAGACCTGACTTTCAATCGTACCTCAATTCCTCCACCCATAGATATTTCTCCTCCCAGCGCCAGTCGGGGAGGGCTAACCCTAACACATGGAAGGCAGTGATGGACCGCCCGAGATATGCCAGCTGTCGAGTCATGATGGGGGAGGGAGAAAGTAGGCAGAGAGACCCAGGAGTTATTTTGAGCCTATTAGGTCACAGACAACATTGTCAAACACTATACACATGTCTTCACATTTTCCCATTTTGCAGATGAGGAAACGGAGGCTAAGAGAGGTTCTGTGGCAGGAAGTGGGAGCACTGTGAGTTGAACCCAGGCTCTAACTCCACAGTCCATTCTCTTAAACCTCTGGTCTGCCTGTCTCGGGCTGTCACCCCCCAGAGGTTGGCTGGGCTGAGCTCGAGGCAGGATCTACTTGCTGCCCCAGGCCCAGGAAATGGACTTCAAGTTGGAGGGTGATGCCGTCCCACTCAAGCGGTAGCTCCTGACCCCGGGGAGGATCTGGGGGCAGAGCAGCTTCCCCAAGTGCCATTGTCCTCCAGGAAATAAAGCAAGATATTTCCCGGTGAGGCCAGCCGGCTGGGGCACTGGAGGATGTGGAAGGGAGGGGCCGGGCACCTTGACCAAGCAAGAGCTTCTCACGCAGAGCGTCTCCAACGATAGGAGGTCAGTGCGATGATCAAGGACAGGTTTGTGTGAAGCAACAGCCCACCCGGGAACCTACATACTGGTCACACCCGGGGTCTCTTAGAAGCCTGACAGCAAACTGAGGGGCAGCAGGTAGACCCAGTGCCCATCCGACGGAGGAAACTTGGGCTCTGGGAGGCCGGGCTGTGTCCCAGGGAGGAGCCCAGCCCGGGGACTAGATCAGAGGGGCTGTGGCCGCTGCCCCAAGAGGCTGCGCAGGTCTCTGCACGTGGGAGAGACAGAAGCTTTGGAGGAGTGGGTACTAAGCTCAGGAGAAGCCAGGTGTTCACCACAAATGGTGGGAGTCAGTACTCAGTACCAGCCTTGGTGACTCAATAGGGTTCCAGCTTGGGGGGTAGAATAGGGGTTCTTGGTGTTTGTGTGTCTTTTGTGTAAATGCTTCCTTGGTTAGAAGGGGTTTACACACAGGGAGAGAGGTGTGTGCCTGGAAGGCTGCAGTCGGATGGGAATGAGCATCACCCCAGTGCGCCCGGGAAAGTGCCCAGAGAGGCCA